GCAAAGAAATCGATCCAGCTACCGTAAAGAGCTTCTAGCTTCTCATCGCTGTAAGAAAATACGTTACCAATAAAAAACATTCGCAAAACAACTACAAAAAATTCATAATTGTTTTTAAAGGGAAAAGGGAGACTGTAAGACATGGAGGAGAGCTGGAGAAGAAACAGTCACTGTCCACAAAAAACGAGATGAGGAATCGTTTAAAAAGTTTAAGCATGATGCAGGTCTTTCTGCTCCGAGACGACCTGAACTTCGAAATGTACATGTAAACGATTAATCTGATGTGCTAAACAGCTCCATAAAAAAACTCAAGCACTGCCTCGTAAAATCTTTTATGAACCGCTTCACGAATTGCTTTGATTCTGCAAACCTAACCCAGATATAACTTAATTTCAAGGTCATCATCCATCATTTAACTCACAAAACCAGATATATTTCTGCTGCTCTTTTGTTTCCGCAAAAAATTTGCAGTTCAGGTCAGCTTCCAGTATATTTTGACGGCTGTTAATATTCGTACTTGGTGTTTTTACTTCTCCATGCTAAGAGAACTTTTGTTCTATAAAAATAATTGATTTAATTTGATTTTATATTTTCTAAAAATTATTGGCCTCCATTAAAAAGCAACAAAACTTTTTAACCAGCAGATATCGGAAGCCTAAAACGATGTGGTCTTTGAACCTGACGATGACGACCTAATAATTCAAGTGTACACCCGGCATAATCTAAGTCTCTCAAAGTTCCTTCCCACTAATGTTCACAAACTTAAAGAACCTCAACAAACTTTCATCAAACTTTTTTGAAGGTTTGACTGATACTATCCTTGGAAAAAATTATTGACAAAAAGTAATACCAGTAAAAAGCTGATAAGACGCCTTAACATGTTTCCTACTGAAAACTTACTAAATTGTTTCTCAAATATATCTAATCTAGCAGGAAATCTCATTTTAACGCCATAACAGAATATCAATATCAGAAAAGTTCAAAGCAGAATATCGTAGCTGTTACAGAATTACAGAACCTTAAATTATGACAGGCGAAAGAGATTTTTGATAAGAGTAGTGATTCTCTTCTATGAACTTTTCGATCAATCTATTTCTTTTTAGAGTAAGCTTAGACCAAGCGCGATCCCGCTGAAAATAACATCACCAAGACCAATGCAGCAGCTACCAGGTAAGCATGTATAGCTTAAAAGAAGACACTAAAACCTGCTCAAGTTTACAGCAACCTTAACAAAAAATTACAATTTTTTGATTCATATAATTACTGATCCTTTATAAGTAATAGAAATGTTTACAAATTGTATGCAAATCCTTCAAATAATTCATTCTCGACTTTGCCTACTTTTATTTTTGTTTCCAGACCAGATGAGGAACGGATGTGCAAAACACCATCCTAAAATAATCAACCACAAACACTTAAATAGAAAATAAAAATTCAAGACTTCAGCTGTATAAAGTTTGAAAACACTTAAGCACCAGAACTGAATGTTTCGATACACGTTAATAAAAAAAAAAACAAGCTTTCTAAAATTTAAATATGGAAAACTGTTCAACTATGAGAAACTGACCACTTACCAAAGTCATATGCAGCTCACCAAGGACAATATTATGGATGACGCAATTGACTGAATCCCAGGTATACACCTCATTGTGACTGTAAAGTGTAGCCACTCAAAAATAAAGCCACTGTGAGATAATAAAAAATAAAAAACCCAATTCAAAATTATTAGACTAATAAAAGAACTTGCAGGAATTAAATTGTTTAAAGCTATTGAGAAATTAAATTATAAAAAATAAAATACAAAATATAGGAAACTCACCTCCTCAGTCTCAAAAAGAAACTGCCTCCTGTTTTCACCTCAATTGATACACCCCAAAATCTGAGACGCGGAGAAACAGTGCCGGAGAATTCAAAGTGAGCTCCTTCACTATGAAAAGCGGAAACGGGAGGATGATGGCTTACTTGCTCAGCAATAAAACGGTACCCTTCATGTTGACTTCTAAAACTGATGAACACAAAGGTACTTAAATAAAGTATAAAACCCGACAGTCTTGATATTTACAATCCTCATAAGTCAATTATTTATAAATTTATGACAGAAGCTGCCAAAGGCTTTAACTTGTTAAAAAGATGTGATTATAAATATAACAAGCGGCTTCATAGCTCACCTGTCTAACTCATAAGTTTCAAATAACAATGGATTAAAAGGTTTTGCCATCCGCTTATGGTTAGATGATAAAGTGGATACAGCGAAGGCGGTGACATACTAAACAAAGCATCAGATTTGCCATAAATAGAAAACGAGACACTAAACCAAATATACGGTTGACGAACTAAATTAAGGTCTATTTCCCTTAAGATATTAAATGAAGGAAGACCTAAAGAAATAACTATTTAGATGGAATGAGAACCTTTAAACGTGATAAGCTGTCGCTACTTTGGTTAGCTAGCTTCAATAAACTTGAATACTCCAGGTATTCAGCCAAACGTTGTAGGAAGCTCAAAGGTTCACAATATACAATTGGTATTGTGATCCGCGTTAAATCCGAAAAAAAAATTCTTTAATGAAACTTTACTAGATTTAAGGGTAACATAGTCCATAGAGAAAACTCATGCCAAAAAATATATTTAATTAATACTTTAAAAAACTTAATCTTGAAATAAATTTTATTAGATAAGCAAAAATTTTTGAAACTTAAAAATAAACTGATACAGAATTCAACATCTTTAGGAAATAAAAGGAATACTTTCCCAACAGCTTGTTTTAGGACATCCCAGATGCTCACATCGCTATGGCTAACCGCACCTGCTGGAAGTTCCTTCCGCCAGCTGGAATTTCCGCATAACTCATCTGTCATTCTTTGAAACACTGATGGAAAAACTGATGAATAATAAGGCAGTGGCGTATAATCGTCACTTTTAAGAGATAATCAATGTCACCTGTTAGGTTTTTCTGTTACATGAAAGAATAAACATCTACTGAAAAGAGCACTAAGCAAAAAAGTACAAATATTAATCATTATAAACATAGAAAAAGCCCAATTGATTCGAAAAAAAAGCATAAGCAGGAATTGTAAACGAGGATAAAAAGAACAACATCCCAGTACTACAACTAAAGTTCATTTTTTTTCGTCATCTTCAAGGTTAAAATAAGCTTAAGATTATGAACTGCAGAGGACATTAATGCAAAACCGTCTTTTTCGCAAAAATTTTCTACTGAAGGTTTTTTTGGTGGGGTGGAAGGGAGATAGTAGTGAGGGAATAAAAGGAAACATCTTACACTCAAGATGAGAACGAGCTGACAATCGAAAACATTTTTCAGCATTTAAATCAACAATCAATGCGAAGCTATGGCACCAGCGACCCCCATCGTTTATGGTCGTGTTTTCTAATATGACAAAGAAATGCAACATTATTCTTTTTTCTCCTAATTCCAACTTAATAATAACAAAAAGTATATAAAGCACGTACCAGCTCCTATGGTGCCAATTTACAGCTAACTTCAACAATTAACGTACTGCTGAGACTGTCGACGAAACTTTTTGTGCACAAACTTTGCCAATGCTGTCGACAAAGGAAACTAGATGTAGTGGCAACCAAAGTACGTAGCTCTGGACTGTCCTAACTTTGCAGTTTCCTGCACTTTAATGCCTACCGCCCGTTGCGAGAGTGATGGGATATGTTTGAGCTGTCAGTAATGTTTCGAACAGAAATTCTGTTGAACTTGGCAAAATGCCAAATAGTCAATGATTTCAAGCTATCACGTCAGTGACGAAGGTCAACGGATAAAGCGTACAACTATTATCAGCTAGTCTACCGCATACTTGTCGGATAAGAATGGGAACACGACAATTTATACTAGTGTCATGATTTTTTTTTGATGCGAAGCAATGAGTTTATGTCCATGTTTATGTGTTGAAATGCAATTTTAAACTCGGCCTTTCTTAAGAAGATAAATTAACCAAACAATTTTTAATTAAATTTTATTTTCCCGGAGCTAATTTGTCGGCTTTTTCATTCTCCTCGATTTTAATCGTTATGCATTACTCAGGATAAGCTTCTGTTCATTAAAACTATTCTAATTCCCGGTCTTTGCTCATGACAGGAATTTTTTCGTCCTAGAGCGCTTTTAAGGCTTCTTTGGCCGGGATTTAGTGAAGCTTTTTTCATGGCATAAATTCCTTTTTCAAAATTACCTGCTAAATCTCAGAGGATGTTTCTAACCAAACTATTTTGATTATTATAAAAGTTTGCTTGCAAATCTTGTGAAAAGATAAAGGGGACAGGGAAAAGCGGGAAGAAAGTGGTTGACTTTGATGAATAAAGAAAACTTTCAAAATATTTGGTTCCTTCGATTATCGTTTATGACCATGATGTATACTTCGCATTCGCTGCCAATATAACTTCCCACTAGTGAGAGTAAGACTGGCTCACGCGCTTGAAATGCAAGTGGTTGTTTTTTTTTGTTCAGTAGTTTTGTTGACTTAGTCTTTTTTTTATCAAATATTTCAAGTTCTGAATATCAAAACTCAGCGCATGTTTGGATCGAACTTTTGGTAAGAAAAGCAAAACAGACATTGTGCGAGATGAAGAAGCAATCCCCCATTCTTACTCTAGTCGTTAAAAGTGTGCTCTGTTAACTCAGCTCCTCTTTGTGAGCAAACACCAAAAATACTGTGTTGTGTCTTTCTTTATAAAGTACTGAAATATGTATTTTTAATCTGTTTTGAATTTGTCTCTCTGATGCTAAAGATTCTGCCAGAAAAGTGAGAATGGTAGCTTCTTAGCTAGAAAGTCGGCCGAAGGTATATGAATTCCATAACTTGTAAATATAGTAACGGCATAAATTTTTTTGACGAGGGGCGTCAGTAGGCAAAAAAAACAAGACCAGTTAGCCTTATCTAGTTTTTAACTTTTCAGTTCTTTTCGGCAATTGTAAGCCACTTGTTAGATCGAAATATTTTTCTGCATAAAACAGTGTATAACTTGGTTTAGTCAGGATGTCGATGTCAATGGGGCGCAGGGTTGGACGGATGGTTCGTATTCAACGTTTTCTCAAAGCCATGCCACTGCGCCTGTGGCGAGCGTATCCAGAGCATGTAAGGAAAAGTAGCTATATTTGTAACATTGTTGGGACTCGCCCGAACATATCTTACTTTCAATTTAAATGGGGAAGGAACCGGTTTTCATGAATTACCGGATAAAATCGAGGCATTTTTTAAAATTAGTTTGTGAAAATTTTATACTTGAGTACTTCTAAGACTTTTCAGGTTCTATTTGGCAGTACGTTTGGCCTTGCTGGACTAATTGCATTTGTATATAAATTTCGTAAATACGGGAGTCATGGAAGTAACTGTTAATCATCTGTTTGATTCAAATGATTTTGTAGCGTCACAGTTATTCTGAATATGTGAAAAGAACCTACAAGGTTTTTCCAAAGTTTACACGACTTAGACCGTCTTTTGAACTCTTGCTTCAACTTTTTTCCACTTTGAACTGCGATTCCCTTTCCAGTTTTAATTAAGCTCTGGCAGTCATTTTTAGTTCGTCCTTGGTATCGTGGATACTATGATATTGTTCGGCCGGATGATGAAAGAGCAATGAATTGGCGGGTTCCAGAGGTAAGAAACGGTGGTTGGTGTGTTTTTTGATCTTTTTTTTATTATTACATTTAGTAGCCTTGACTAGTTATAGTTCGCAATAGTTCTTCTTTTTCTCTTCTAATCAAATTTAAACTTTTAATATCTCACGTATTTTTGAAGCATTGGGAAATCAAAATTTTTCTGCATGGTAGACCTTGTACTTTTTTTTTCGTCTTTATTTATTTCTTCACCTGCACACTTATTTTTTTGATAGTGCGATTCAATGGGCTACTAATTACCAGTTTAAAATATTATTATTTATGAAATTTACTCACTGATGAGGAAAGATTTGGTGAGGTTTGTCACAGTAGTTGCTGAAGAAATACATTTGCGACATTATTTTTAATTATTTTTGCAAGCGCGGTTCACAGCTGTAAATGAGAAATTCAAACTTGCACAAAGGAATGAATTGTGGTTTGGTTTGTAGCTGTTTTGTACTTAATTACCTATTGAACTCCATTTTTTTCAGGAGTATCCACCGGAATATTCGTCAAATAGGCAGAATGTAGACGCGAAACATTATAAAAGAGACTATGGTTGGAAGTCTAATATTTGAAAATAAGTGTTTTATGATTTTATAATTCCTCCTAGGCAAGCGGAGAAAAATTTACTAGAAAGCAACGACTAGGTTGTATTTGTGTGCGGAATAGCATTGTAAAGCGTCTTATGGCATGACATAAATGCTTATTTGCAACATTTTCCTTCACATATTGCTTTAGAACTACTCAGTCTGTTCCTGAGTGGAGCAGATCAAACTTTGTAAATAAACTAAAGGCGGAAGTTTTGTAGGAAAAACGGATAATAGGAAACATGTTTAAAGTTTTTCACATTAGTTGGGCGTTGATTTCCTCGCTTTATTTTATCATAGACTCTGTATAATTAACATACAAATTGGCACTGCAGTCGACATGACATTATCCGAAAGCAGAGTAGCAAAAGAGGTTCTGTGTATATAAATTTTTTGTTGACACAAGGATGTATTTAAAATACCGATGATGTACTGTTCAAATGACTATTCTTTTGCGACACACCGACATATCTATCTTTCATCTTTGCGTAGGGGCATTTGAGTTGGAAGATTTGGTCTCACAATGATTGCCGTAAGTATATTCCTTACGCTTCAATACGTCGCTTCGTTGGAATTATGTAGCCAGGTTTCGCTTTTTTTTGGTCTACGCTTAGGCTTTTTCTTCTCAAACAATCTTAAATCACTTATAAATTTTTTGGAATATTCGCTGTAGATTAGGCGCCCATGAGGAGTTGCTTTTGCTCTGCTGAAAATCTTTATTGCTTGATTTAGAGCGATGGCAATACAAGTTCATGTAACTGTACTGGTTGTTTGGAGGAAGTAGATACTTTGAAATATCGAGATTGGATTTTGGTTGAGTTTATCGGCTGTAGGTCAGAGTACATTTTCAATGCAACGGAATTGAAGAACAGTATTGCGAAATGGTTAAATGAGGAATGTGGGTCTTCATTATTTTGTCATGCGGACGGCAAAACTTCTGCTGGCAGCGTTTTAGTTCGTGATTACAGTTGCTCTGGAAGAGATCACTCCTTTAAAGTTTTGGTATGGGACAACAGCAGCAAAAATTCTGACCAACAAGGTACAGTTAAGTTATTGCAAAAAAAAATTGACTTGCAGGATAATAATTTCTGCATGAAATCTACTGCTGTATTTTAAGAGCATGCTTACAGTACAATTCACACACTGATTGAAGTTTGTCAGGTCTTATCATTAGGAACTTATAAAAGTACTATCAATTAGTAGTAAAGATTCTTGTTTAAAGTTTGTAAATTGCGTTTTTTTGAGTCGACCAACACAGAGCTTGGCTTAATTCAGTGAGTTAAAAAAGTTTATTGTCACCCATTAACACAGCACTTTCTATTCTTTCCTTCCAAAAACGTTTTTGTTCACTATCCTTATTTCATCATTATGTTATCAAGCCGAAGGAAAAATGCAGTTTAAATATTGCAGCTATCAACTAAAGCTCGATACAGATCTCATTGTATTGTTTGAGAATTGTAGTGATATTACAAAAGATA